ATTTATTTTTTTTTTTTTTGGCAGAATCAGGGATTGAACTCGGGCCCTTGAGCTTGCCAGGGAAGTGCTTATTCTACTGAGCCAACTCCCCTGCCCTATATGATACATTTCACCATGCTCTACTACTTTAACAACTTTTCTACAATTCGGAATTCTCTCTGTAGAGTGTGGACAAATCTCCTGAGTACAGAAGGCTCAGCTCTGACCTTTTTTCCAAATAACAATATGGAAAATGCCTTGTTACTGTGAGTTAGCATTTATTAAAAGAGGATTTCACCAGCACAAAATTTACGATATCTGAAAGCAGGAATGCTGATGAGTGAAGAAGGCCAGATTTATATTTAAAGTACATTTTAATAGTATAAAACTTAAGTTTTTTTCTAGTCTAAAGAGTATGGCATTCAATTTCTGTAAAAACAAGGCTTGGTTGTTTGTATAAGAAAGCTCACAAAAGATTCTTCTTTCAAAGCATTCATTACTCTGTTTCATAGTTACTTAGCATTTGCTTTAAGACACTTACTTTTCTAATTCTTAAATCCAACTTTAAGCTTCAAAACTCGTAACAATTCAATAAACATTACCTAGAAGGACCCACTAGAGAAACTGTTGCATACGGATCACAGCTTTGTCCATTTACCAGAGGTAACCCATGGCAGGCCTTGATGCTAAAGTAAAATAAAAGAGATTTCAAATGCTATTGAAGAGTTATGTTAAACAATATAAACAACATAAGAACCTTTTGTGTGCATGTATGTTCTGCGAGGGATAATCCAGGGCCTCAGGTATGCCAGACAAGTGCTTTACCACTGAACAACACTCTAAAACTTTCTTTAAACATAAATGAAATACTCAAAAGGCTCAAAATTGTTTTCTATATGTCTGCCTATATACCACCAACCCCCCAAATAAGTATGCATGTATTTATGCTATATTTTCCAGTAGTGGAACCAAATAGAAATGCCACAAGTATTGAGACTATCAAATAACACTAACACATTTTCTCCTGCTTAACACTCAAGAAGGTACATTTTGTGGTTTGATAATACATCAAAACACTTGTGGCTTCTAAAAAGGAAAAGAAAATGGTGCAACCTTAAATGAGAAACTACAAACGAAGCCAGCTCTGTGGTATTGAATCTTTTACTAAAACATGAATGACATACAAGGAAATAATTGTGGTTTTCACTTAAACTCTGATTCATAAATATACAGTAAGCCTCAAATAATTCTGTAGCTTTTTATTCTGATCTCAGTAATAGTTACTACACTGTTCTGTAAAAAATGTTTTAAATAATAAAGAATAAGGTAACCTAGTTGTCTCAAGTTGCTTTTCTCTCTTTGCTGGGACAAATATTTGACACCCAAAATGAAGGAAGGAAAAGTTTTGTTAGCTCACAGTTAGTGGAGGTTTTAGCCCATACTCTGCTGGCTCCCAGGCAGAGTGGAACATGGCAGCACAGAGGAGCCATTCATGGCAGTGGCAAAAAGCAAAGCTCAAATGAGAGAAACAGCAGCAACAGGGACAGTAGAGAGCAAATCTGTCTCTCTTATGTTGCATTCTGACTGTCTGCCCCAGGTCGTAAAGGACTCACACCCATAATCTCAGCAGCACTCATACCCATAATCCCAGCACTGGATCATGAATAAATCACAAAATCTAGAAGTCTGCCCCATTACTGCATGAAGCTTTGGGAGGACAACTAGACACAAAACATAACACTAATCCATTCCATGGACTGTAGCTGTTGGTATTTAATGCAACAGAGGTAAGGGTCTTCATTTCCTAATGCTTAATAGAAACTCAATCATGCTGCTGAAACGTATTCTCTGTTTAAAGATAAGAGCTGTTGAGCAACATCCTTAATTCCCTCTACAACATTAGATTTCCACTGTGCTTGAAACTGCACTCACTACCTTACTCTCCTTGCAATATCAAATTTATCTCATACAGACACTATTTGCTAAATATGTTCTGAAACACTTTTTTCTAATTAAGACACCACTGTTCTTTTAGTTTGTATGTCAAGCAATCTAACATCATAAACATGACTAGAGAAAAAAATAAGTATTCAAAATAACTTCAGTATACTGAATTAATATTTTTATATGTGACATATACTTATATTAACATATTATTTAGAAATTATGTGGAAAATAAATTTAGTCCAAACATGTTTATAATACAAAGTAGTCTCAATCTCTTCCTTGGATTTTGTTAAAAATTAAAGGATAAATCTTAGGTTCTATATCCAGCTGAGATGGAGTAACAGGATTTATCTTCCATCAAAAAATAGACAAAATCACCAGCAATGGACAGTGACCCCACAGGGATGCTGGTGAGCCTTCCAAGTGCCTCAGGTTATTGCTAAGCAGTCTCCCTGAGGAGACAAAGTTGTCAGATGAAGAAGGTCAAAGTGGCTGAACTATCAGCACAGAGAACTTAGAGAAGAAAGCAACACAAAGAGAAACTTCCAGAGAACTATGAGACTCCCCACTGAGTCTTCGACTAAGTGCCAACAACCATGTGTGAGGAAACTATATGAGGCTAGGGAAAGAACCAGCTGAAAAGAATGGAGAGAACAATTTGTACAGCCCACACATAGCAAGCAAAAGATCCCACCAGTCACAGTAAAATACATGGTAATTCATGGGTGCTGCTTGAGAAAATATAAGCCCTAAAATATAGCCCTAAACACAGGCTGCTCTCATCTATGTGAAAAGCTTAACAGCAAACCACAAACAGATCAAACTGTTTCCAAGTAATTTAACTGAAACCTAAACAAAACTAAAGTATATTCATAGGAATATAAAAATATCCAGAAACTTCACATGGTCTGGCATCCAACAGAAAATAACCAGAAATGCAAAGAATCAAGAAAATATGACCGAGTCCTAGCCCAGGTCCGGTGAGTGTGTGGAGAACTTCCTGCTACCCTGCGCCGGCGGGACCAGTCCCAGCCCAGGCGCAGCGTGGGCCGG